TGCCGAAAATGTGGCTACGCGGCGTCTTTACAGTATACTTGCACTGACCGGCAGTTACGCTTGATGGAGAGCGAAGTGATTTTACGAATGAGCTTATGTTGCCGAAAATGTGGCTACGCGGCGTCTTTACAGTATACTTGCACTGACCGGCAGTTACGCTTGATGGAGAGCGAAGTGATTTTACGAATGAGCTTATGTTGCCGAAAATGTGGCTACGCGGCGTCTTTACAGTATACTTGCACTGACCGGCAGTTACGCTTGATGGAGAGCGAAGTGATTTTACGAATGAGCTTATGTTGCCGAAAATGTGGCTACGCGGCGTCTTTACAGTATACTTGCACTGACCGGCAGTTACGCTTGATGGAGAGCGAAGTGATTTTACGAATGAGCTTATGTTGCCGAAAATGTGGCTACGCGGCGTCTTTACAGTATACTTGCACTGACCGGCAGTTACGCTTGATGGAGAGCGAAGTGATTTTACGAATGAGCTTATGTTGCCGAAAATGTGGCTACGCGGCGTCTTTACAGTATACTTGCACTGACCGGCAGTTACGCTTGATGGAGAGCGAAGTGATTTTACGAATGTGCGTCGCCTCATGGCGCGTTGCGTTTAAATGTCCATGCGGCGTCTTCAGCGCCGGCAACAGTGTCGATGCGCGTCCCTTCCAGAAATTTTCCTTTGGCTTGAGAAAACGAAGCTTCTAGAAGTTTCGAAGGCGTCCCTTTTTTGTGAGTGCTGGCAGTAAATAATATTTCAAATCGTAAACTTGCTCGGACTTGCCGAGTTTTGTTTGTAAACATTTTCTCGAGTGCCCGCCTCGGTCCGCACGTGCGGATCAGCCTAGGCGCACGTGGTGGCCAGCCTTGCTGCACGCGCGGTCAGTCTAGGCGCACATGCGGTACGCCGGACTGCGTAAATTACCTTTCTTTTTTTTGAAATTCATGGGACTGCTTCAATCCCGAACAGTTCGAGATTGCGAGAATTTTTTCAATGCAATAAAACATCTGGCAACACAACATCATTAAATTGTCGTTTGTCTTCAGTAAAACTCCTGCTCATTTTGTATCAACCTAGAATGTCATTAAACTCGATCATAAAGCTTTAAAAAAACGCTCTCATTGACGTCGGAAACACGAAAGGGTCAGTACACTAAAACGCCGAAAATTAGTCATGCTAGTTACTTTGCATTGCCAATGCGTTCATAGTTTGACGCATTAATGACCTAACTATTTACTGGCACGACCTTGTCGAATCTGCTTGTAGTAGAACAATTGGAAGCACCAGATATACGTACAACTCTTGACAATTAAAACGTTTCCTACATTTCACTGCAACCCAAAACCCCAGCACGTCGAACATCGGGCGACAGATGATTTCCCATATCAATAAGACCCAGAGAAGGGATAGAAGACGAATACGAAACGCCCCCCTTCAGACACTTTCCCGATTTTAGCATATTCAAGACTAAACCCAGAAGGAAGTGGATGAAGGCGTGCATAATCAATCATGGCGCCCAAAGTCGCACTCTGTTTAGATACAAGAAAAAAGAAGGGGTTTCTACTGTAACCGGGTCAGTGAAATATTTAAGAAGGACAATTACCATGTACCACCACTTATTCTATGGAAAGGTCACAACTATTCCCGAGAAGGAGGAACAGGGAAAAAGTCGTTCAGCTGAGTCTTGTAAAAATAGCTTTCATTCTGTGATTCATGACCACAGATACACAGATAAATTGCTCAAATATTAGATTATAATTCCGACTAGCAATGTCGATGAACTCTCCAAGGCTATATCCTAGTGAGGTCAATAGAATAATCGGCATACTAACAGACACCGGTGCGCTACTGGAGTCGAATGCTCGTACGAGAATATTTAAGAGCAGCGCTTGACGCGCGTCGGCGTAGTGCAAATAATTATTATACATTCTCCAGATGGGCTCCCTATTCGACCAGCAAGCGGTAACTCTACAAGCATCAATTATTGCATCTATGTACGTGCGTAGAGCATCAAGCAATTCAGGCAACTAATAGTGAAGCCACATCTATAAAGGTGGCCCAACGCCCACGTAAGCAACGCACACGACCATTCCTTACAACCACATTTATAAAGGCGACCCAACGCCCGCATAAATAACGCACACTAGCCGTACAAACACCACATCTATAAGGGCGGACAAGAACGACGACATACACCCGTATGTCCACTAACGCAGTTCAAGAAACCGTCGTTACAAGTTCAAAGGGAGCAACGACAATCCGCATATCGGAGTCCGAAGACGCTGGCAGTTTCCTATTAACGTAGTTCAACACAGCTATCGTTACAAGTTCTTTTAGCGGGAGACGAATTACCTTATCGAAGTCCAGACACGTTGGAAGTTTCCTATTAACGTAGTTCAATACAACTATAGTTAAAAGTCCTATTGGTGGGCGACATATTCCAACGACAAGTGTCCAGTGACAAGCCCTCTTGCAGAAACAACAAGGAGGTCCCAACTTTCAATATACCAGCAGTCTTCGTAAGTGTTATTATTATTAAAATAATTATATACTTTGAGATTCAGAGTATGACATGGACAAGCAACTAAGGGCGACGAAGCTCTCCCCAGAGCAACAGTGCAGAATAGATTCCAGTACGCGTCGTCAAGTTCGCGCCCGCTAAAAGGGCGTCTTTTCGGCAATCCTCACCTTAGTTCAAGTTCGGACGCTTATGAACTTAAGCAACAAACAGTGCGAGTGCGATCTTGGTAAAACAAGCCGGAACGGCGAATACATTTTGTACAAGTACCATACTGGACAGTACCATACTGGAATGATGAATCTAAATAATATATTAATTATTTCTATCTAATAATATTTAATATATATAATAATCGATATAAATTAAAATTTTTTAATTTTACAATGATTTATTTAATCCTTTCAATAAACTATAAGTTATTATACTAAATATATTTTTTTTTTATTTTAAATCCTAATATATATATATATATATATATATATATATGTATGTATGTATGTATGTGTGTGTGTGTGTGTGTGTGTTTGTTTGTTTGTTTGTTTGTTTGTTTGTTTGTTTGTTTGTTTGTTTGTTTGTTTGTTTGTTTGTTTGTTTGTTTGTTTGTTTGTTTGTTTGTTTGTTTGTTTGTTTGTTTGTTTGTTTGTTTGTGTGTGTGTGTGTGTGTGTGTGTGTGTGTGTGTGTGTGTGTGTGTGTGTGTGTGTGTGTGTGTGTGTGTGTGTGTGTGTAATAACAATAATAAATAATTTTTTAAGCTTTATAAAAGCTTTTATATTCTAATGTTAATTACTTAAACAAAGTTATAATGATGAATATCATAAATTTTATTTTAATTGTAATAAAATTTTAATTATCAATGATAGTTTTCATTTATTTTCAGTTTCAGTACATCAAAATCATTTATTAAAATTAATAGTCAAACTGGTATTGAAAAATCAAAAAAAATGGATAGACTCGATTCATTACGAGAATCTATATCAGACTCACAAATTGATAATACTTTTGGACCACTCAGTAACGTAAGGTATATACATAAATTCTTTTAAATACAAATTAGATTAAAATAAATTATGTATATTATTATAAATGACTTAGTTTAAACGTCATTGTAATTGTTGAAACGATATGGTAATACAAAATTATTATAAAATGTATAAAATGTTAATCTATAAAATTAAATAAGATATATCTTATTATAAAAATAATTATGTAAATTTAAACCACAGATATCTACATTTATTTTTCGCCTTGATTTACAAAATTTAAAATTTTTTTCGCAATCTTCAGCATTATACATTCTTCAGTGTAATTAGAGAGATATTTAGATTTTTTGATAAAAAAAAAACTTATCTTTATAATAGATGAAATAAGCATAAATTTCCCGTAATTTTTACTCGTATTTACAAATCTACATCATATGAATAATAATCTAATTTTTATAAGTATTTTTGTTAACGCATAATAGATATTATGCTTATTATAAAAGTATTTTAAAATAATGGCTACTCAAAGAAGTAATTAATATTTCATTGACTATAGAAAATAATTAATTCTAAAATGTTAAGTATTTGTTTCCATAATTCATTTAACAAATAAAAAATATTTATACGAACAGAATTATTATTATGTTTTAATGTTACCTGTCAATAATATATAAATAAATAAATAATTTTTTTATAATTATTTCAATAACATTCAAAGTTATCCTAAAAACTATAAAACAGAGCAGATATATATTAATATTGTTTATTTTCAATAAATTTGTATAATAAAATTAGTCAAACCTGGAATTATACTTTAAAAAGTTATGAGTTATACTAAAACGGTAAAATTAAAAAGCTGCATCTTTTAAAGTATAATACATACCAAAAATAATTTTGTTCTATTTTAATTTTCATCAACACATTCATTTTAATTTAACATTAAGTAAATGTACGGAAAATTATGTATAACAATATTTGATTGTTATTAACATATTCATATAAATATATAAAATATAGACTATAATAATTATTATTATAATATAATTAATATAATTTGTACGAAATGTATTCGCCGTTCCGGCTTGTTTTACCAAGATCGGTTCGATGGCTACAAATTGATGCCGTTGACAACTCAGAGATCACGGATGTTGTGTGATAGCGATGAAAGGTTAAAGTAGAAGGGATATTATAATATTACAATATAAATACGGCTGATGTATACGCTATTTATTCTGTTATTTATTGATGACAAGGTTGACTAGTATTAATTATTGAATTAAATCTTGAATTGGATTGTTGTGTTTGCGGTGGCAAACGTATACTCAACTATGCAGCATGATGATTGAATTTGACCGCAGAATGGCTGGAAGTTTAATTCATCGGCACTCGCACTGTTTGTTGCTTAAGTTCATAAGCGTCCGAACTTGAACTAAGGTGAGGATTGCCGAAAAGACGCCCTTTTAGCGGGCGCGAACTTGACGACGCGTACTGGAATCTATTCTGCACTGTTGCTCTGGGGAGAGCTTCGTCGCCCTTAGTTGCTTGTCCATGTCATACTCTGAATCTCAAAGTATATAATTATTTTAATAATAATAACACTTAGGAAGACTGCTGGTATATTGAAAGTTGGGACCTCCTTGTTGTTTCTGCAAGAGGGCTTGTCACTGGACACTTGTCGTTGGAATATGTCGCCCACCAATAGGACTTTTAACTATAGTTGTATTGAACTACGTTAATAGGAAACTTCCAACGTGTCTGGACTTCGATAAGGTAATTCGTCTCCCGCTAAAAGAACTTGTAACGATAGCTGTGTTGAACTACGTTAATAGGAAACTGCCAGCGTCTTCGGACTCCGATATGCGGATTGTCGTTGCTCCTTTGAACTTGTAACGACGGTTTCTTGAACTGCGTTAGTGGACATACGGGTGTATGTCGTCGTTCTTCTAGGACATGTAAGCACTGTTCCCTTGGCAGCGTTAATCGACTTCCACTTCACTTATTTGAATAAGTACTGTGTTGAGAGTTATATCAAGAGAGTGATGAGTATTGAAAAATGCGCCCCTTAAATACATTTGCTGACCATGAGTTTTATTTCAACCCCTTCCCTTACTCTTCGTCTAATCAGAGACTCCTCCCTTATAGAGTGCGGATAGCGCCTATTTTGGCTTCATAGTGAATTAAGGGCCTAGTCATCTCTTGGCCTTCATGGCAAGAAGAGCTCTCGTTGCTGCTGACGCATCTGAAGAAAGCATGACAACTTGTTGACAGCGGAAGGGAGGGGGTAGGTCCTCTTGTGTCCGCTCGACATACTGCCTGAAGTAATTACCGAGCGGAGGGAATTCGTACATATGCCTAATTGAGTGAATTTTCCCGTGTTTATTGTATTGTTATTCCACATGTTTTATTACACTATTGCTAGATAGTTGCGAGCAAGAAAGTTTTGAAATCTAAACACAAATTTTACGATGTTGTTTTGCCAGATGTTATATTGCATTGAAAAAAGGTCTCGCAATCTCGAACGTATTGAAATTGTTTGGAATTCCATCCACCCGGTGTGATCAGGAGACCAAGGTGGTTGGATGAAACCATCCAACCGGTTTAATGATAGAAGGGGGGAGAGATTAATGCACAATTCAGTACAAGCACAGTTGGTTTTCGTGACTTTTATTTAAGATTAGGTCAAAATTGATCAATGTTTCACTGTTAATTGTGAGAATTGTTGAGCTCGACGTGATCCTGACAATTGGCAAAGAACTACAAGGTGACGTTTGGGTGTGCAAGGCGAGACTAGTCTCTTTTCCGGCGTGTTACAATCATAGTGCCCTTATGGCAGTAATCTGGAAAATGCTGTACTTTTCTCTCTCTCTGAAAGCTTGTTATCATGGCAGCGTTTCTCTACAGTAATTCTGGGAATTAAGTTTACGAGAGACGCATGGTCAATGGCGTAGCTCCTTTAGCGAGATAATGGACAAGTCTCTTATTGAATATAATGGGTGACTATAATGGGTGATTGCGACAGGTTGATAAACTGATGATTATCATTGTTAGAGCCGCATGCCAACTAGTGGCGCCCCGTGGCGGAGTGAATGAGTATCACTATCGTCGTGGGCTGGCCGCAAGCGAAATGCACCTGGCAACATTAGTATGGCAATTAGTTGCGAGAGGCGCAAGGCAACTAGCGACGTGCTCGTAGTGGTATGATGAGAATAAAGTTGCAGAGAGCTCCGCGAGCGAAATGCTCCTGGTGGCAAAAAAATGGAATTATTTGCTGGAGGTGCCCGGTAATGTCGGCACTCTCTTTAGCGGTCTGATAAAACTCAAGTTGCAGAGGGATTACCGATATCGGCGCTCTCTTTAGCGATCTGATAATAATCAAGTTGCAGAGGCTTACCGATAATTTCTGCGCTGGGCAGCAATAATAATATGAATTAAATTAGCTGCCAGATAATGTCGGCCCCCTCTTCAGCAGTCTGATAATAATCAAGTTACAGAGAGCTTACCGATGATGGCGCTGTACAACAATGATGATATTAATGAATAGAGATGCCAGGTAATTCCCGTGTGCCGATAGAGGTTCAATTCCAAAAAATTCTATCAATTTGTCGGAAGATAAGCTTTTGCCGGTTGGAGACTTCTCCGTAGTTGCTATGCGGTTATATTTCAGGGCTTTCTTAGTCAAAGTTTTTCTAATATTGCAAATTATAATGATTTAAATTTTATGGAATTAAATTGTTTTTGTTGGGCACCAATCCTGAACAGAAAAAATTATAATTTCTAATATATGATATTATTACAAATTTATTTCACACAAATTTACAATTTATACTTGAAAGGAACTCTAAGTTATAAATAAATTCTAAGTTACCAACATAAAAGTAATATTTTATTATATCATCAATTAAGTAGAGGTTATTACTTTTATTTAATATGGGTAAATTATTTTTTAAATTATCCTTCGCCTAATCTATATTTATATCTTTATTTTTTCTTTCTCTTACTTTTCATCATTATTTTCATTTTAAACTTTCCATCATCTTTACTGTCACTTTCTCTTTTTCTTTTTTTCTCTATCTCTTCTTTTCATCATATTTATTTATTTACATTCATAAATATAATGCGCATTTAACGTATAACAACTTATATCGCAAAACATAAAATAATAAAATATGAGTTAGTGGTTATATACATTCTTAATATTGTTTTCTTTTTTACATCGTATATTTAGCTTTTAATTGAATTTTTTTCTTAATATTAGTACATTAATTAATACCAGTTTCGAATATATTTTTTCAAGTATTTAAGTATTATCTTCAAATTAATCTTTAATCTTAATAATAAATCAATAGCGTATTATATATATCGTTATCACATTCATCAAAACTATAAAGATGTGTCTTTATCCTATGATTTAACTGCAATATATATATATATGAATTTTTTATATAATTCTTCCATAATCCAATATAATGCCCTCAAAAATCTTATCTATAAATTTTTCAAGATAATAAAAACAGTCCGGGGATACCATTAATGTTTTAAATTACTCTTATTACATATTTGCACGTCTGCAATCGCCTTTCATACGCAAATCTTCATGTGTTTGACAGTCACTATATAAACCACATGGATCATAAATTTAACTTATTTTTATAAATTTAAACATAAAACCTTAAAACGTAACCTAAAAATATTTTTCTTGTTGCCCGCATTTTATCTGTTTGTGTTAATTTATACTGCTATACAAGTAATATTACATAGATTGGTATATATTCCAATCATTATATATGATATATGTTATATATGTACAATTCTTTTTAAATAAATTAATATTTTTAATCACTAACTTTTGGAGATTGAGAGAATCTCTCGTATATTATCATTTGATTGACAAGGAAATCGGCTATTATTTCAAGGAAATTATTTATCTGTCATAACTTCTAAGAATTGTTGAACGATCGCTAGAGGTTCATAAAGGTCACGCAATGATCGGTCAGCTAACAAGGATACCGCGGAGCTATTAAAGCAATCAAGTCGATTTCCTTTGGTCCAAAACATTTCCTAAAATCGTTGTAACTAGAGTTCTGGGAAACCCAGCTCATTCGACATCTGGCAGTAATCATCACACGCAATGATTACAATATAACGGGACACCACGCATCCATTGTTGTCAAATACGCCACATGTTGTCCCGCGTACAAGCCAAGTGGCGACACTTGACCAGGAACTCCTCTCGTCGCGAAGTCCAAAAAACATGTGATCCTCCCTATTGAAAGCGCTGTTGCTAGAGGCACTCTTGTCGATGCTGTCACTATCAAAGCCTAACTGCTTCTGAAGTCGAAAGATAGAGGTGTGCACGCGCAGCCGTGCCGCCCAAAGCGGTGCGCTCTGATTAGAGAAACTAAGGCATAGGCGTTCCTTGAGTGGGAACTTACTGTGAGTGGCCTTAAAAGTGGGGACGACTTAGATACAATTGTCAACTTACCATTGACATCACAACTATTTAGTCGCAAATGCGGCCACGATAAAGGACTGCATCGCTAGCCCCTTCAAAACTGTTATGACAGTTAGCTACCGATCACAGAATCAGATCAAGACTACTGCATCGCTGTGAGTGCAGAAATCCACATTGCCATCGCCAGTCCGTCTGAGATTGGAATGATGCAATCTTTAAACAATATAAAACAGACTCACTAAGAAGTGTGCCACTCAGTTATTGATCATTACAAAATCAACAACAAATCATAATTATCAACGAGCATCTTGTGTAGTGAAAGATCTATCACGAGAACTGTTCCAAGCAATCGGATCTTTGTAATTAAACTTAGTATATATCCAATATATCAATAATGTAATTGTCTGGGATCAGACTTAAAACCTCCGTATGATGGTGAATGGAGGTGTTGCTGGCAAGTGGAAAGGCCAATGCAATTATTCAATACCGTCTTTAGTTTTAATTATCTTCCTTTATTAAGTATCATACATATAACAATTTGTCAATGATCTATAAATATTGGAATGAATGTGTGATTGAATAAATAGATGAATGTTTCTTCAATTGATGTTAGTGACGATGAGCCTGTAAGTGTTTTCTCGGTAGATTGAAGCGTAATTCACCGCTTTTCCTTGTACGATGAATCGCTGTAGTGAAAGACTCGCACTGGAAAGGGAAGCGAGTTGGCGCCGCCTTTGCTGCCGGTGTAGAGTGAGCGCCGTAGTTGTCGAAGTGGTGGGAGAATGTCCGTGTTGCGTCACTGCTTGAGTGAGCGAGGGGTTCGCTCGTATCGGTGTAATGCAATTTCGATAGTGTGCGTTACTTACGTGAGCGTGAGGACCGCTCTTATACCTGTAGTGGTGACTGACGTTCGTGATGCGTCTCTGCGTAGGTATTCGTGAGATCTGATGTGGTTGTGGTAATGGTGCACGTCCGTGGTGCGTTGTGGCGTAGCTTACGTGAGTTGGCTGGAGCCGTTGTAGTTGTAGTCGTAAGGAACGAGGATGGTGGCGTAGCTTACGTGAGTTGGCTGGAGCCGTTGTAGTGGTAGTCGTAAGGAACGAGCGTGGTGGCGTAGCTTACGTGAATTGGCGATTGTACGTAGAATGGCGAACCTGTCGTGAAAAGTGCTTGATTGAACTAGTAAGAGGACGAGAGTGTCAAGCACAGCTTCTTAAATATCCTTGTACGAGCTTGCGGTACCGGTAGCTACCGGTTTTCTCTTGCTATGCCGATCGTTAGAGTGATGTCACTAGGGTCTAGCCTTGGAGGCTTCGTCGACCTTGTTAGTTGGAATTCTAATGTAATTTTCGGATATTTTGCGTAGTGAAATATCCCGAATTCACAGAATTGTGTTTATAACTAAGCGCGCACGTTTTTCTACCTCTCCCACTTTATATTTCGCTTTAAACTGCTTTAAACGCTAATAAACTATATTCATCGAAAACGAACTGTATATCTACAGCCCTTCTACTTATCTCTTTCCCAAGTCTTGCTAGGGCAAGCGCAAATATAAATTATCGAACCATTGGCAGTTCGAGCCAAGAAAACTACAATTTCGAACACTAATAATTTTGATAAATACCAATAACATGATTGAAAATAGAATATGACAAAGTAGCGAAAATGATAAATGAAATTTCTAAATTGAATGTATTGTATTCGTTCACAACAGATTATAAAATTTAATAATAAAATACTAAATATTCCAAAAAATTAATTCTTTGGTCATATAATTCAATTTTTTGCGTGATTAAATTTAATAATCTACATGTAGAACAAAATATATCAAAGCAAATTATCCATTAATGTATAGAATGAACATTATTACAAATTATATTCAAACACAACCCTTTTCTCTAACTTCATTATAATACCTGATTCTTCATAATAATCTTTTCATTCCTCTAAAATTTCTACTTCAAAACAAGGTATTTAAGAATTTATAATTCAATGACACTTTCTTCTAACAAAAAATATAATCATTAGTGATAACATAACTTTAACACTTATTTATTTATAAAATGTGAATAATACGTGAACGAAAAATAAATATAAAAAGGAAATTTTCAAAAATATAAAAATTCTATTGCTTTTATTTTGAATAATAATTATGCGATATATAACAGTTTTAACCAATTATTCAATTAGAAATGATCATTTAATTAATGGAACTAGGCAATACGTGAATTTTTCATAAACAGAAAAGGCATAAAAAATTATATAAAAAGATAAATAGATATTATTATGTGAACTAAAATTAGTGCTATAAAAAAGCAAAAGAAAAAATAGTTCAAAGCATTCTAAAATAAAATATTGTAAATATCTACAAAATAAGAATAAATTTCAGAGGTGTCAAAATATGAAAATAGTATTCCGAACAGTATACAAAATCTATAAGAATAAAAAATTTTAAAAAATACATAAAAAATAATTAATTAAAAATAAAATTCACAAAAAGATGAAATGTAGTAGAAAGAAAATAGAAAAAATAAATTCATGAAGATTTATGAAAATATTATTGTAATTACAACCATATTCTGCAATTAAATTTTGTATGCTATTGTTCGAGATTGCGAGAACCTTTCCCAAGTCGTTAAACATCTGGCAAATCCAAAAGCATTAAATAGTTGTTCGACTCCTAATAATGCCTGCTAATAAAACATCTGGCATTGATATTATAAAACATCTGCGAAAGACTCGGTAGACTCTGAAAAACCTAACAATTAGGCATTTGGAAAAAGAAAAGTTTTGCAATAGGAAGTTCCCTCAGCTTAAGCCGAAGCCATGTCCTCGATTGTAATCTCATCAAATCGCGGCGCCATAGCCATAATCTCCAACTCAAAGTCTCTTCAGGAGCCAAGTCACCAAGCATACTTCAAAGATTAAGGCCGCTTCAAAGTTACGTGCAACATTATCCTAACTAATTCCACTGCCTGCGCCCAAGAAGAACCCAACTCGTGCCACTTGCGCGCGAAACCTATCTTCGCACCATTCAGCGCACATTTTGCCGATCCTACATCTAGTCTCGCTCGTGGCCCACGTGCACGAAGCCAATTTCCACGCTATTCAGCACACACCAGCAAGGTAATTCAACGCTCCATGCAGCGCATACACTGCAGATCCACTACTGCAGAATTCAACGAATCCTGCTCATGTCCATTCGCACGAAGCAATAGTAGATTCACCACGCGGCAGTACTCCAAGAAGTGGTAAAAGCTTTACAACCTCTCACGCTTAGGGTAATCTACCACCAAGTGCGCTACGTCACGAGAATAAGGAAACTGACAACTTCCGACCTCCGCACGAAGCGCATGCTAACGCCAAGTGTTAATCGCCACTGAACTCTAAAAACTGAAACTGAGTGTTCATGGATTGAATTCATCAACAAGTATCATTCCTGTATTTGGAAATTAAACAGAATTAACGGCATGAAAACCAGATGTGTTAAATATTGAATTAATACGCTATCCCTTCCACTTGTCTGCGCATTTCTAATCTAAACTGCTATAATGTAATTAATATGTATAAACATGCTTTGGATATTGCATATTTTCTGTAACTTATATAACACCTACAAATATCTTATTATAGTTTAAAAACTTCTTAAAAAATTAAATAAACGGTTCCTGAAACGAATTTCTTGAAAAAGTAACTTCGATGATAAAATAAACATTAAAATTATGACGATGACATGACTTAAATTTGTAAACATATTTCAAAAATTAAATTACGCGCCGTGTTACTATGATATAATGACATATTAAATAATCTTAATTATTTATAGATTTTCAGTATTAGCACTGGGCTCCTCGGCGTATCCAAATTTTTGCGCTTTTGGACGATATGTTGATAATCTCTTAGATGAATTAGGAGGTGAGCGTTTAGTTCATCTATCTCAAGCAGATGAAATGTGCGGTCAAGAGCAAGCATTTAGACAATGGGCTACTAATGTATTTAATGTAAATATATACATTATTACATTTTTTATAATTATAACAAAATTTAATGCTTACTCTATTTACATTATACGCTAATAGAAAAATAATATCTAATATTTAAAAAACATAATAAAGATAAATTTCTATCTCAATACATTTATAATATTTATAAATATATTGAATACATAAATATAAATTGACAAATAATTATTTAATTTCGTTTAACATTAAAGTAAACGAATATTAATACTCAGATACTAATATTGCAGTACAATATAAAAAGACTATATTGTTTTAAATTATATCAAGCTGACACTATATTTGTTGAAACCGTGTAAAAAATACTATAATTGAGTACATTCTGAAATGTATATTGTAATTTAAAAAATATAACCAGAAATATTAACTAACATATTCTTATATAATATATCTAATGTAATATTTTTTATTCTTATGTTCTTTACTATAATCAAGACATTGGATCAAATATATTTTAAATAAAAGAAAATAATAGAAGCTTCATAAAAATAAGTATATTATCATATCTTATTTTTGTTTCATATTATTACGAATTATAAACATTTTAATAATCTTAATACTATTAAAAAGTATTGTTGTTATTCGTTGAACGCGTTATTATTCTTATTATTAAGTATTGTCTGGGATCAGACTAAAAGCCTCCCTGTGATGGTGGATGGAGGCTTACTGGCAAGTGAAAGGGACAATGCAATAATTCAACACTGCCTTTGAATGTAGTGTCTTTCCCTTTATTGAATATAATAAATATAATAAATAGTCAGTGGTCTATGGATGTCGAATTGAATGTATGATACAATGAATAGATGAGAGATTCTTCAATCAATATGAGCAACAAGAATTCTGTAAGTGTATTCTTAGTAGCTTGGTGCTTAATTCTCCTACTCGTAGTTATGAACTCGTGATGGTAGTGGGAGATTCGCGCTGATAAGGGGCAGCGATGGTGCCGCCTTTGCCGCTCGCGAGAAAAGCTGTAGCGGTCTGATGGAAGGAGGATATCCGTGTCACGTCACTGTTTGACGGGAGGGAGGATTCCTCATACTGTATACCGTGTATTAGTATTGCTGCCTACTTAGTTGGCGGGAGCCGTGTATTAGTGATCCGTAAGAACGTGTGTAATAGCGTAGCTTACGTGTGTTGGAGTTGATCTCAGTTGCATTGATGGTACATAAGAACGTGTGTAATAACGTAGCTTACGTGTGTTGAGGTCGATCTCAATGGCGTTGATAGTACGTAGGGACGTGTGTAATAGCGTTACGTACGTATTGGAATCGATCTCTGTAGTAGCGTTGGTAGGCCGAGTCAGCTTGGCTTCCGTTGAGCTGGAGTCGATCTCTGCAGCGTTGTTGGACTGAGTGAGCTTGGCTTCCGTTGGGCTGGAGTCGATCTGTGCAGCGTTGGGTGGCCGAACTAGCTTGGCTTCCGTGAGCTGGAGTCGATCTGTAGAATGGCGATCCGATCTTGATGAGTGTTTGATTCGCGTCTCCTTAAATATCTTAGTACAGGCTTGCGATTCCGGTGAATTCTGGATCACTCTTCTCATGCTGACTGTTAGAGTGACGTCACTAGAGTCTAGACTTAGGGAGTTCATCGGCCTTTGTTAGTCGGAATTGTAATGTAATATTCGAATATTTTGCGTAGTGAGGTTTCCCGATTTCGCAGAATTGTGTTTATATCTCAGCACGCAAATGTTTCTAACTAAGCACAGGTGTCCTTACCTCTCCCACTTTGTTTACCGCGTAAAATTGCTGTAATCCGTAACAAGTATTATTATTTGTTTGATAATTTTGTGCAACAATCCTTTAACATTTCTTTTGAAAGAATAGTTGCGAACTTTTGCGGAAGAACATTATTCGAAATTGTAAGAACCTTCCCAAGTCGTGGGACTTCTGGAACATCCAAGTCGTTAAGCATCTGCCAAAACATGTCATTCAGAATTGTGAAAAACAAGTAATAAAGACACCTGGAAAACCGATGTCGTTTGTCATCTAGAAAAAAGGTGTTCCATGCAAAAATTGCAGTATACGACACACAACGCATACGTTTTTGTTAAATCTATCTACAATGTAGCTCGGATAATGAAGCAAGAACACTTCATCAAGTTCCCCTCATGGTGGTGATGCAAGTAAGAGGCGCTCTGATTGGAGACGCCAAGAAAGAGGCAATTCGTAAATGACCAAGCGGTGGTCAAAAGAATGCTTTTAAGGAAGGCAAGGTCAAAATACAGAAGCTTCTTACAAAGAACACCAAGGAACAAGGATGTAGACATAAACAGTAAAGGCCAAAAATAAAGAGGCAAAGGCTAGTCATATCCTACTCATAATAATTGCAAGATAAGTACAAGATACACCATTTCAACAGTGCTAAGAAAAGGACAAAAGAATAAGGAAACAGTGATGCTCAGAGCAAAACACAAAACAAAACCTACAAGCTACCGCGCGAGGCAGAGCCTGCAAACATCACGAGCTGCCATCAAGAGCACAAAATGTACAGAACTTACAAGGTTCCATTCCTTAATCTAGACACTCGTTCACAGAATCCGGTAAAGCAACTGCATCTCTATAAGTACCAATATAAGACCAACAGGGTCCTCCTTGAATGCAACTTTCACCTTGTGAGTTCTGCAGATTTTGTGCTCTCGATGGCAGCTAGTGATGTCTGCAGGTTGTGCCTCGTGCGGCAGCTTGTAGTTTATGTTTTGTGGTTTTCTGGCTATACCTCGTATTGTTTGCTGAATTTACCTCGAACGGCTCTTTATAGGTTGTGATTATGTTGTGCCTTGTGCACCACTATTTGCTTGTTCCCTTTTCCTTGTCTTGCACTGCTGCGAGTGTATGATTTGATTTGCACTTATCTTGCACTTGTTATGAGTTGGATATGACTAGGCCTTGCCTCTTAATCGGCCTTTACTGTGTATATCTACATCCTTGTTATTTGGCATTCCTTTGGAGAAGAAGCCGGTTTCTCTTATGAGAAGAGACTCTTGTGTGCCTTTCTTAAAATTATTCTCGGCCACCACGTGGTCCTTACGAATTACCTGCTTCTTGGCGTTTCCAATCAGAGCGCCTCTTTCTGGGCGTCTCCAATCAAATTGATTCTTTCATTATTGGCGGCTCAAATCAGAGCGCTTCTTACTTGCCTCCCCACCATGAGGGGGACTTCTTTGGCACATTTTCGCTTCACGATCCGAGCCACATGTAGCTGGGTTGACAACAGCGTATGCGTACAGCGTTGCCTTTAATATCCCTTTTTCGGACGTCAGACGAGGTGGTTTTTGCTTATATTCTATTCTTTATATTATAAAAGGACGTTCTAAAGGGAAATAAGACACCATGTGCCGCCAATACAAAGCCAATAAGGCCCTCCTACTAATATGCTACTAGCACACAGGCAATAAGACACAGCGTGCAACCAAGAAAGGCCAACAAGAACCTTCTAAAAGGAATTAAGACACCAAGCCCAGCCAACACAGTCTCTTCAGTAAGAAGAACTCAATATGTTACCATCACATGACATTACACGAAGAGGTACCAGAGATTTACGACCTCTTACTTTTCAGTATAATAATTTACCCCCAAGCACACTATGCCAAGAGGATCCGGAAATTTACGACATCCTACCTCCATATGTAGTGCATGCTAACGCCACGTGGCAACTACAACGAAACTGCAAGATCTCACCGATTCGGAACACCATCTTACAATCATTATTATTGTGTAATTTGTAGAATAAAAGGCAATAAACATCACGATAAGCAAACTTATATAATTATTAAAAAAATGCACTAACCCTTCCACTTGCCCGCACTTCTTTACCCCACCAGGCAACTGTTGGTCATAGTCTAATCTAAACATCCTGGCCCTTCGACCACTGGATGAATGGAATTCTAAATAAATATAATATCTTAATAAATATAATATTTCTAAATGTTTTGGGAATACTAATTTAGCCAGTATTAAGTAAAAAATATTCCTCATTGTCTTTTCGAAGTGATCAATAACACAATTAAAGTATTTTTATTACATCATCAAAGTTATTTGTTAAATGACTTATAAACTTGATTCGTATATTAATCAAATAACACTTTTTGGTGTGTATTTACCTCAGTATGAATATACTTAACCTCAGTGGTTTTCTCTAGGTTCAGTATGATTATACTTACTCACTTTGCGATAAAATTATGGTCATTATTACATAAGTAATGATCTAATACAAAGAGAAACTAACTTCTAATGTACATTGTACTACTATGTATTGTAATACGATATTCATTTCGCCACATTTATTACAACATTATTGTTTATGCTACATTAGAACTGTCTACATTACTCCGGACCGTGAATACGTCAGATGCTAGTCAATTGACTGGTTTAATGTTTATAAACAATTTTTGTGTTTTATTCTACCGTATATTGTATGAAAACATATTGTGATATTTCTTAAACCAGCTATTGTATGTTAAAAGTACCATTTCTAAGTATATTCAAGTAACTGGTTTCAGGCAATAACAAAAATTCAAATATTGCTATAAAAATTCTATACTATAATTATTATAATTACTTAATAGTTGTCTTTAAAACATTTAATATTGAAGATATGACTTAATTTTAATAAAAATTCTTAAAATGAATATTTTTCTAATAAAATTATAATCAGACATTATATTAGTAATTCGTAGTTAATGTAAAACTAATATTAAAAGCAACAAAATATTCATTATACAAAAATATACTTTAAACAAAAAGTTTTGCATCATGTAATATATATTATTATATATTTTCTATACATTTTTTAATTTTTATACTTTATTTTTACATAATTTATACTTATTTATTTTATAACTTCAAAAGGTATTAAATTTGTATTAAAAACTATTAACATTAATAATAATTTGATACTAGTAGTGGCTTAATAAATATAACTATGACTAATTAAATTTCGGAAAGGTTTACTAAATAAAGATTCCTAACTACTAACCTATATGACTATTGTTAGGTTTCATGTGAAACATTTTGTCTTGATGATGATGAAACTTTATTGGAAGCTGCTGTATCACTAGGATCTGAAGTAATATCATCTACAACTGTTCGTTTTGTCAAAGCAGAAGCACAGTCAATAAATAATGGTAAAATTTACATTTTATTATTTAATAGATAATCACAAAATCATTTTCATTATTATACTTTCATTATTTAATTTTAGCTTTGAAAAGATGCCACAATCGAGATATTAAAATATGTAATTTATCTAAAAGAACAAATCTATGTAAGAATCAAACAACAGGGTAAGCATTTATTTAATCGTTTAATAATTAATAAAAAAATCCTTATATATATTTTTTTACTTATATGTTTATATAAACTATCTAAAAGCCTCTTATTTCAATGAAAATAAACTTTATTACATATACATTATATTGGACTGGTCCTTTCTTTTCAATTCGGCTCAAGCTTCATTTTTTAAAACTCTAATAAAACGTAGAAAAAATAAGTGATAATTTAAAATAATGAAAGATATGTAATGTTTTAGTTTTTAATACATTATAGCTATATACATTATAAAATATTAATATATTAATGACTTCTATATTAACTTTCATATATAAAGTAAATGTTCTATTTATCCATATATCCACGTTCTCGTAAACGTTATGTATCATTATGTATATCTAAGAAATTAGATGCTTATCTTAATTGCGTAAAATGTATAAAAATTAGAAGCACTTTTGGGTTATAATAAGAAAAAGTAAGTTTTGTTAGAGTTCTGTATTACAAAATAAATAAAAAATGAAAAATCCCACTTATTAAAATATTTAGGGTAAGAAAATCGACGATAACATCTAAAATATATATATAATAATTTATTTAATTAAATGTTGACAGAGGCCAAACCTTATTATTGGAACTTAGTAACTTTATCTCTGAAGATATCAATTATAAACCTGGTGATCATTTAGGAGTATTTGCTTGTAACAGAAATTGTCTTGTTGATGGAATTCTAAAACGCCTGAATAATGCATTTGATATTAATATTCCTATTGAACTACAAATTCAAAAGCAAATTCATACGTCTAATGGTATGTAAATATTTATATTTAATTGATAATACAAAGTATTAATATGTAGGATTAATATGTTTTACCTAAGCAATAATTCATTAAATTATTAAATTACATTAAATTTTTATTTGTCGATATATATGTTAATATTTTTACAAAATAAATTAACGTGATTATATTTCAAATCTATTAAATATTAAGAAAATGATAACGTATTGTGTTAATTAGATAACAATAGTTGTAATATTAAATTTTGCCAATTTTTTTGCTAATATATTTAAAAATTTTCTTTTTATTGTGATTTAAGTTCTTATAACATCGATTTATTTTTTAAGAAAATATATTATTGGATTTAAAGAATAATATATGTATAGTTATAAAAATTTTTGTTAACGTATATAAATGATAACGATTACATGGAAATTAGAAAACAAGATGTTAAAGAACTAGTTTATCAATGACAATTATAAAATTATAAAAGTTGCACAATAAATTTAGCATTATAAAGGAAATAAATAAACATGCATTCATGTATGCGAGAGTATACGTATGTATGCCTTTAAATTTAAATAAGTAAGTTTCCAGTTATTACAATGAATTGTGTCTTATTACTTTATAGCGAGAAACTCCAGAAATAATAACGAAAATATGAAATTTCAAGAATTGTTAATTTATAATAAACAGATAACTAACAAATAATATTTTATTCTTACGCATTTTGGTATATATTATAATTCATTCATTTTATATCAGTATCGATGCACTACCTTTCCTGTTTTCAAGTATTGATGTCAAAAAAATCTTAAGACCTAATCTTAATTATAGTTGCAATAAGAAAAGATTAGAAATCATACATTCAAACATATATTATCAATTCATAAAATCTGCAGTAAACAATATTATTTTAACTATAATTATCGACTTGCCTTAATTTACATTAATTTTTTTTTACTTTATATCGTTCTAATATTGAACTTAAATTTACATTATTATTATATAGAGTAACTAAATTTGTAGTTTAAAAACATCAGAATTAGATTATATCACTCATTACACAGAATCAGTATACACCATTATTTATCCGTCCCTTATTATCCCGATTGACAGCTAATGATTAATAAGCTACTTCAGTATATCAGAATATTATTCAGTCTGCAGAATATGTGGGTATCATTTATTACACTTAAATTTATTTATTTGCTAAATATTTAAAAATATTTTATTTAACTAAACGTTTTCTTTAGTTTTTATTAAAATTCTAACAAACTACGTCACTAAACATGTAATAATTTAACATTTTGAGTTTAATTTTGAAAAGCATTCTATTCATTTAAATTTCATAGCAAAATTATATTGAAAAAATTCATCATTATAAACACTGTATTTTGATGTATACAATTAATTTCATTGTAGCGTTTGAATTTATCGATACTTAATTGAGTAAAATATTTCACTTACAATTTTTGGTATATTAATATAATTGTTTAATACTTAGAATTTTTATATCGCTTACTCTTCGAAATTGGAGCATTTTCTAAGGCCATTGGCTCTCGGAAATTTATAAGCCTTCTAATCCTCAAATTTCGAAACATTATGTTTCTCGGAATTCTCCGACCTTCTAAAGATTTCCTCTCCCGAAATTCTCGAAACTTCTAAAGCTTTATTTTTGAACGTCCTGTAATGTTTATCTAGTCTCCGCATAGCAACACCTATCCATTGTTGCCAGCTAACTAATCTGCTGCGTGGATATTTAAAGCAAGGACGCCACGAGACGCGAGATAGTCAGCCAAGCTATTCAGTCAGAGCTATTCAGCCATAAGCTAGTCACTCAGGAAGCATTACTCCAAGTAAGGCCACCATAGAAGGAAGGCGCTTCAATTCTCCTGTGTTGCAAGATAAAGTTGTTGACACTGTGACCTTCATATCAAAAAATGCCAGACTACACAAAACATAACTAGACATAAATATATCAAGGAGTTTGCACAATTCATTGCTAATCCTTACAACATTAGCAAAGCCTATTATTAACACAGCATAAGAGATACTTATATTAAGGAGTATGCATAATCAGTTGCTGATTCTTACAAGATCAACAACAACATCATTACCATCACCAAGGAGCATCTTGTGAAGGTAAACTATTCACCACAGGATCAGTTCCAAGCAAATGAATCGTCGTGATTGAACATAATATATACCATTTCATCACATAAATCCAACACATCAATAATGTAATTGTATATAAACCATAATAAACCATATTTAACGAAGAAGCGTACACTGTATTAATCTAGAGCCTTTCCACTTAAGTCCTTCCCAAGCATCCGTTAGGGTGTGCGGCAAAATATTATAAAGCTATCGGACGTTTTGTTCTTCGAGTCGAATAGCCGAAGGTAATATATTTCACGAGTGTCCAGCACTCGTGCAACTTCGAAAATTCAACAGTTACATTTTGTTTGTGATTGAAGCAATTTCCAAGATCGTTGGCTCTCGGCATCGCTAGTTACTCTAACTCATCTTTTTGTTTCAAATGCCCTACAATGTTTTACTTTTTTACTTTTAAAGCCTTCTTTTTTTTAAATTCTCGAAACTTCTAGAATTATCCTTCTGCGCCTTATGTAAGAATCCAGTATAGCGACAACGATGTTTTGTTTCCAGCTAAATAAGCTGCCGTGCGGATGTTTAAGGGCAGCACACTACGCCTAGACGTTCATTGTGAATTATTCAGTCAAACAGTTAACAGTCATTCAACTACGCTATAAAAACTATGCTTTCTGCCACACACTAGTCACACAATTATACTCACGCAACGACTGCTTACGAGAAACTGAGCATAGTCTCAAGGTATTTCCTTACATTTTCACGGCTACACGTCCTATACTGGAGTGTGCGAATATTAATACTAATCCTTACAACATTAGCAGAGGCCACGACATCGTCACCATCAAGGAGTAACCATGTCATTGAGATAAAACAGAGTTTACACTGTTCTATGAGAAGTGAATGCTGCTTATTATTAATGTAACTATTAATAAACTACATGCTAACGAAGTTTTCATATACAATACATTTCTATAACCCTTCCACTTTACTCCTTCCCAAGCATCTGCTAGGGAAGGCGACAAATTATTAAAGCTATTAAAACATTGGCAGTTCGAGTCAAGAAATAATACAACACAGATAATAAAATACACAAAATTTAGCATGAGAGAAGCCTCACCAAACAAGATACAGGCACAAATACCGACTGCCAAACATCAATTTTTCCAAATTTTCAGGAAACCAAGAGGACTGGTTTGAGTTTCGCAATCTTTTCAAGGCACTGGTCATAGATAACAATGACATTAGCGAGCTTTAAAAATGCATTACCTCCGCGCCACAGTGGAAGTCCAGCAGTGAAGTTAATTTCTGAAATCTCCCAGGAGTCAGAAGCTCCTCTTGGCGGGAAAGTCACGAGAAGACTACTTTTCCAAGGCGTTGCCACTAGGGGCGCTACAAGGACGCTCCAAAGACGCTCTATGTAAAGATGCCGTAGCCGTAAGCGCTTTGATTTGAGACGCCAAGACAAACTCACTCACTATCTAACCTTCGCTAGTGGGTCGACCAGGAATGAAGAACGCTCTCTTATACGGGCGCCGTGGAGGACGGTGCTCTCTCTCTCTCTCTTACAGTGGAGGCCTCAAAAAATGCCTCAAAAGACAGACTGTCTTAACTGAAGCCATGGAAGAGCCGCTCTCTCTCACAAGCGACGCCACAGAGGGCGAACATACACTCAAGCTGAAGTTCTCAAGAAAGAAGAAAGAAGGAAGAATGAAGCTTCCCCAGCAGAGTCGCAAGTCAAGTCTCCGTATGCCACCGCATAGTAGCTCAAGGTACCGTAGCCACCTTTATCTGGGTAGAGTTCTCAAAGATGCAGCAATAAGTACACTTCAAGGATCAGGGACGCTACGGAAGAGACACTAATCAATACCTCCGAGGAAACGATGATATGGTTACTGGCATTGGGAGTTATAGAAGATTTGTGGAACTGTGTCTCTGTATACCAGATCACTCGACAGATCGATCGTACCACCAGGAAATTGTGGGAGTCGTCAATTAGCCATCACATACCGACGCTTCGAGCAACTAAAAGCCTTCCTAACATGACGGCTGAGGGCCTTAAAACAGATTTACTCAATGATAGATTAAACTAGACGAGAAGAACATCCAAAACCTACCAGACATCAGTGAACATTTCTCAGGTAACTCAATCATCTGGATCATCCGAGTCACTTGTGTGCAAATGCTGCTCCAAAAAATATCACATTACAATGTCCTCAAAATTCAAGAAAATGTCACCATTAGAGAGACATTATCTGGCAAATAGCTACGGACTTTGCTTCACTTATTTAAGAACCCATATGGGCAAAAGCTCCATGAAATACAAAAGGTGCTCCAAAAAGCACCATACTATGCTACACGAAGAAAACAAGGCAGAATCCACTCAAGCCAGTCGTTCAATTCCATCATCCAGATGAGTTGATGGTACAATCATCGATATACAAGTTCATTCCACCACATCATTACTTCCCACTGACATGACCATAATATGGTCAAAAACTACTACCGTACAAGTTCGTCTCCTCAGAGGTTCTGAGCTTTCATTCGTCAACAAGAACCTCATCAGACAACTCAACATCCCTAGAAAATGTTCCATCATGGAATTGGGGGAGCTCAAGTAACTCAGATACAAGGTGTTGTGTCACTCACTCTCCATTCAATCCACTCGAAGGCCATATTCACCATACAGCCTAACATTCCCAAGATATTAACATCGGTAAATCCTTCTTTCGAACCAATTTAACACGATTGGCAACACTTGAAAAACTTAACATTATCCGATCCGAATATCTTACACCTCGATCAATAGACATCAATTTATACTATATATATATATATATATATATATATATATATAGTATAAAGTATATTTATATATCTATAAGTATAATTCTTGTACAAAATCTGAAATAATTCAATAGCATAATATCAAATTAATTAATTATGATATTAATTTGGAAAATTTAATTATATTATCACTTTTATTGATTGCTTCAAAGAGTATTTAATTTCAATGTGTTCCGAATTGGAGCATTTTTTCGAGGCCTTCGGTTGATGGAAATTACATTTGACAAGCCGAATTCTCGAATAGTCCAAAGCTGAAATTCTAGAAGGTTCTGCAAGGCTGCTTAGCCTGCACGTGGCAACGTGGTTCGAATTCTCGAATATAGCAGCACCTAAACATTGTTACTAGCTTTTAGCTGCCGCGCTGATACTTAAGGAAGAGGCATCAAGACTTCTCGTAGTTATCACTCAGCAGTCACTCAGTACACAGTGTCGGTTATTCCTTCGAGTCAATTACTCGTCCTAGCCAATCATTTACGCCCTAGCCACAACCTTAAATAGAGTCTACAGCATAGAGAAAGTCAAGCAATACACGCTCTCTCAGTGAAGCTATTGCAAGGAAGACACGTTCAATTCTCCAGTGCGCTAAAGTTAAGAACCAGTCAAGGGCTGAGTGCAGTACTAGGAAATAGTTGACTATACCAAGCATGGTATCGGACTCTCCTTCACATGAAGGTATACCAGCAGTCATTATTGAGAATAACTACCACATAAAGAATCCCATACTCCCCTTCACGAATATAGTCGACTCTCCCTGCGAATCCTTATTGATCCTTGCTGGTCCCCATAACATCATCAACGACATTACCACCATTACCAAGGAGCAACCACATCATTCTAATAGAATAATTCCCTCTGTCCCACAAGAAGTGAACATAGAACTACTATAATGTAATTGTTTATAAAAACAAAAGAAAAGATGTCCTTAACGAAGTTACACACTGTACAAATTTACAGCCCTTCCACATGTGTCCTTTCCTAAGCATTACTACGGCAAGAGACTAATAACTGAACTATTGAATTTGGCAGTTCAAGCCAGAAAATTAAATACATTTGATCCTTCGAACCAGATCAAAACACAAACTTTCGAAAAGAATACAACTTATGAATTAATACTGAAATAACTATAAACCGTAAGTGTCTGGAATCAGACTAAAATCCTCCTATAGATGTTGGGTGGAGGTATTGCTGGCAAGTGGAAGGGACAATACAATTGTTCAAGACTACTTGTAATGTTTATTTTCGTTCCTTTTATTAAATATAATAATATAATAAATAATTAATAATCATGAAGTATATGAATAATGGTATGATTGATTTATATATATGAAGTTTCCTTTATATTGTTACGTGTTGATGAGTGTATATCCTTTTCGTTGTTTAATGAGTAGGTGCTATCTTAGTATACATTAAACTGGTGGTGTTTGTAGTATACATTGGTGCCGCGCTTGTTTTTGCGTCGGTCTTATCCGTGAGCATATATAATATGATTTTTATATTTTCACTGTTGTTTTATCTTAGCACTAATGCGTTATTAATTTAAGTTTAGTTTAATGAATTTTAGAATATAGTGTCACTATTTCTTTCTTAGATTATTTGCTTGATTAATTATTACGTATGTATACCGCTACAATGAGTGATAACTGTACAGAAGGCTTGAAGATGAATAGTGCGTTTGTTATAATGACTGTGTAATTGTTACTAGACTGAGGCAAACTAACTTGCTGAGCGTGAAGCGCAGCCCTTAAATATTATCGCACTATTCCTTAAACGCCGGTGTTTTGTTTAAATAACAGAATTAAAGAATAAAGAATTAAAAGAAAATAAAGAATTAAAATTTTTAATTCTCCCACTTTCGACTTTCAACTTTTTAATCTGTAACAGTAAGTAAAACTAAAAAATGAAAATTTCTTTAATTACTTGCAAAAAGAAATTAATTTATTGCAGATACCATATTGCAAATTCATAGTAATTGGCAAATTCACAAGTATTAAATATTTGAAAATTTTATACGTATATGTGTATGAGATAAATATATAAGTTTATATCTTCTTACATACAACTTGAGAAAATAGTTTTCATTAAATGTAGTACACTTAAGGCATTTTCGAAAATACAAATTTCTTTCTTACATTTAAAGTTACAAATTTTAATTAATTTCAATTAATACACGCTAACCAGAAATATGCGTTCCTTGACTATATATGGATATGCTTTAACCAGTATACTTAAGCCGAGCGGTCAAATAGCTATAAAATTCGTATTAAAATTCATTATAATACACAATTATAATCTATAAATGAATTATAAGGACAAAAAATATTGCCATTTATTTATAAAACAAATATTTGTAATACTTCTTTTATATAATAAACTCTAGATATATACTCAATTAAACAGTCCTATTAGAATATTTTTCTTGAATTAAATCAGTTGACAATCATTTTTTTTTCACAAAATATATTAATTTCTATATATTTGTAATTCCAAATATACGCTATAATGTATACTATGAGTGTATAATATAATTTATAATACTGACAGAAATAAGAAAAATATTAAACATTTGGCAATCAATTTTATAAATTTCGAAGCGAATAATATTATTTAGTTGTTTAAAATGATTTTATCTCTTATTTTACGCCTTTTATTTTACTCGTTACCCAGAAATACCTTATATGTTTTAGATATCGTGAAAACATGGATTTCGCATGACAAATATCAAGGTAACTCATTAAAAACATTGTTTACAAGATTTATTGATATAACTACTCCACCTACACCCAATTTATTGAGATACTTTGCATCAATTTCATCATGTTCTAAGGAGAAATCAAGACTAAATCTTCTTGCAACTGTAAGTATGTTTCTCTTTCCCCCAGCTTATATCTTAAGTAAGCTAACGTGTTAAAATATATAATATTTTCCCATTTATAACTACTAGCAGTTACGTTAAGTTTATATTTTATTTCGTTATTATTAAACCCTAGTTTTTTAAAAAAAATTTTCATTGTAATAATTTATTATCTATAAAAATGATTATATCCTTTTGTTTATATATTAAAGCTATAAGTTCGTATATACAATTTATATTAGACCTTCTTGTTACTTATTGTACAAAATGCAACTCGTCGTTCCGACTTGTTTTATCAAGGCCGGTTCGACGGATACAATTTGATGCCGTTGACAACTCAGAGACCACGGGTGTTATGTGGTAGCGATGAAAGGTCACAAGTGGAATGGATATTATAATAATACAATATAAATACGGCTGATGTATACGCTATTTATTCCGTTATTTATTGATGACAAGGTAGACAAGTATTAATTATTGAATTAACTCTTGAATTGGGTTGTTGTGTTTGCGGTGGCAAACGTATACTCAAATATGCAGCATGATGATTGAATTTGACCGCAGAATGGCTGGAAGTTTAATTCGTCGGCACTCGTACTGTTTGTTGCTTAAGTTCATAAGCGTCCGAACTTGAACTAAGGTGAGGGTTGCTAAAAAGGGGACGCCCCTTTGCGGGCGCAAAAATTGACGACGCGTACTGGAATTTATTCCGCACTGTCGTTTTAAGAGGAGCTTCCTCGTTCTTAGTGCTTGTCGATGTCATACTCTGAATCTCAATATATATGTAATTATTATAGTAAAAATACTACTTACGAAGGCTAATCGTTTCCGGACTCTGATATGCGGATTGACGTCGCTCCCTTTGAACATGTAACAACGATTTCTTGAACTGCGTTAATGGACATACGATGTACGTCGTCGTTCCTCCAGGGCTTGTAACTACTGTTCCCGTAACAGTGTTAATGGACTTTCACTAAACTTAACTGAGTATGAAATGTCTCAAGGGTATATACTATATTGAGAGGGTATTACTAAAAAAGAGATATCAAGAGTCTACTAAGAGGGAAATATCAAGAGTCTACTACTAAGTAAGAGATATCAAGAGAAACACTTCAAGAGAGTAATATTACGAGAATACTACTAAGAGAAAAACTATCAAGAGTAAAACTATCAACAGTGATGAGTATTGAAAATTGCGCCCCTTAAATACATTTGCTGACTATGAATTTAACTTGAACCCCTTCCCTTATTTTCCATCCAATCAGAGACTCCTCCCTTATAATGTGAGGGCAGCGCCTCTTGTGGCTTCGGAATTAATTAAGGGCCTAGTCATCTCTTGGTCTTCATGACAAGCAGACCTCTCGTTGCTGCTGACGCATGCTACAGCATGTAGGCAGCGGAATGGGGGGGCATCGCTGACACATCTGGTGACAGCATTACAACTTGTTGACAGCAGGAAGGGGAAGGAAGGTCCGCTTGCAGTAATGCTTGAAGTAGTTACCGAGTGGAACGAAAATGCAGATGTCTAACTATGGGTTTTCCCGTGTTTATGGTATTGTTTTTTCAGATGTTTTATGACACTAGTGCTTGATAATTTTGAACAAGCAAGTTTTGAAATCTAAATATAATTTTTACGATGTTACTTGCCAGATGTTTTAATGTATTGACAAAAAAAGGAAAAGGTCTCGCATTCTCGAACACTTATCATTATTTTAATGTAACAGTTCATAAGAAGCTGGCTATTGTGACAATAATAACTTGATTTGAACTGTGTTTTACAATTAAAAAGACATAACATTCTTTGCTTTATGTTTGTTTTTCATTTTACTTTAACTATTTAGTCCTGCAAGAAATATTAAACTTTAAATTTACAATTATTAAGTACTAAAATTTAAGTAATAAAATATTATTTTTATAGGATTCTGTAGTATATGAAGATTGGAGGCATTCAAAATTTCCAAATTTATTAGAAGTTCTTGAAGAGTTTCCATCTGTACAGCCGTATGCTCCACTACTTTTATTACACTTAACTCCATTGCAACCAAGATTTTATAGTATTTCTTCATCACCACTAATTCATAGAAATGAAATACATTTAACAGTTGCTGTTGTGCAGTATAAAATACAAGGTAAACATATTTAATTAATAAGTGTTTCATTCATAACTTTGGTATAAGAATGTCCAGTTAGGATCCTTTGTCGTATTGATTTATATTATTTCATTTTAAATAATATTTTATATCAATCAACAATGATTAAATTTACAAAAAATATTTATTTTAATAAGTAAATAATGTTTGCATGTAGAGAATGACTAGTTCAAATTCTGATACATAAAAAATAATTATATATTTAGAGTCATTACTTACAAATTCATATGTAATATTATTGTTTTTTTTATAAAATTTTCTCATTATTTCATAAGTTACAATAATATAAAAACAATTATACTTATTATACATTATTACAACAATTATACTTATTATACTTATTATAATTATACATAAAGTGTTTGTTCGGGATTGAAGCAACTTCCAAGACCGTTAACTATCGGCATTGTTAGTCTCTGTAGCTCTGAAGTTCCTGTAAACGCTTGTCACAAAGATTTTCGTGTACTTGTTATGTTTTGATTTCAAATTGCATACAACGTTTATATGGTCTTCAAGCAGTAACGTCGCTTGGAATTTTCTAAATGTCTTACGCCTTGTTTTTTCTTAGAATTCTCGAAATTCTAGAGTTGTCTTTTTGCGCCTCATGTAAGATTCCAGTGCAGCAACAACGATGCTTTGTTGTCAGCTATCACTAATCATGGTCTGCCTCAGCAAAACGCCATGAAACAATTAAGACTATTGTTTTCGTGCTCGTATTGAACAGGCTTATAGGCTCATTGTAATTTAGTCCGTCAAACAGTTATTCTATTCAGCCAGTGTCTTTTGCCATACACCAATGAAGCCATCCCAAGAATTATACGTTTAATTTAATTGTGCTACAAGATACAAGCAGTCCAGAGTACTGACTGAGGTACGAGAACTATACGACTACAACAAGCATAGTCTCAAGGTATTTCCTTACACTTTAAAGCCACGCGTCCGATACAGGCGTGTGTGCATGCATATTCGTTGAGGCCACGCGTCGGATACAAGCCTGTGTGCATACTATTCGAGATTGCGATTGAATAGTTATTTTATTTATTCTCGCATATCTAAGAACGTGCTCATGATTTTCCGGTGCAGTTAAACGATCTTATTGTTTACCGCCAAGAAGACGTAGATTCTAAAAGAGTATCAGATATACGTAAACTATCAAGTACAAACATTTCCAAAATTTCACTGCAATCCAAAATCCTGCACGTGCGACGACAAGCAATAGGCGTAAGTGCGCACTCGGCATCTTAAGACAATGCTTACATTATTCTTAACTACGCCGCATCTTGTATATCGTGCTAACCAACCCACCACGCCCTAGAGGACCCCTCATATCGCTAAGCCCAGATAAAAGAGAGACGACCAATAGTAGAAGCTCCCCTCTTTCCGACACTTTCCCTATTAATATATTCAAGACTAGACCCGGAAGGAAGTGGAAATGAAGGCGTGCATGATCCATCATGCTGCCCAAAGTCAAACTCTGATTGGATACAAGAAAGAAGAAGAGTCCCTAGTGGAACCGGGTCAGTGTTTAAGAAGGACAATATTTAAGAAGGAGTCACTATTTAAGTCACTATTTAACAAGGACAATACAGTGTGCCACCACTTATTCTCATGGAGGAGGACCAGAGAAAAGTCGATCAGCTGAGTCTTGTAAAATATCTTTCTACGGCTGTGATTCAATATTCAGTTACCTTTACTCTCATCAAGCTCTAATAGCACATGTACTGAGATTCTCGTCATCTCGGCAAAAGGGACAAGAGAAAGTTCAAGTGCAGTTCGTGCATGGAAACTTCTCATCAAGCCTGTGAGGAGAAACTGGAAATATCACACTACAACTTCCAAGTAAGTCCTTACCACTAATGTTGATTCTTCATCACACGATTTACTATAAAAATGGACCGCAAGCTGTTCGACCACAGAAGCTTCCCGCGCATGCTCACTACGCAAGATCAGCAATTCGCGCCATACAGTGCCACACACTTCCTCTAACCTCTATCTTAGGCACATGCTCACTCACACGGTCCATTATTCAGAAGCAACTGCAACACGTGTTAAGATCACGACACGGTGAGGAATCGTAGTGTTCGTTCAGAGCACAACAAACGATCATAACCTCTCAAGTGGTGATATTCAATAGATTATAACCTATCTCTTTTCAGAGTAAATCATTATCTCACGAGTTACGTACAGAGAATAAGGAATTTATCATCCTGTAGTTCTCCAATAAAAGTATATCAGAACGCCACATTATTATTGAGAAACATAAAGGTCGTTTCTAATCTCATCACGATTAATCATCCCTAAATTAGAAATAAATTGAAAATAAATGGAATAAACAGCAATAAGAATTATATGTGTTACTTATTGAATCAGTGCATTAACCCTTCCACTAGCCCACGCATTCTCCCACACAACATCTAGTGGTTTTCTTAGTTAATTGTACACATTTGTTTCGTGAGCCGGATTAGTGGAATTAATTTTTATACACATACATATTCTTTGAGGCTACACGTCCTATACAGGCGTGTGAGCATATTGCTGCTAATCCTTACAACATTAGCAGAGAACACGAGTTTGTCACCATCTAAGAGCAACCACATCATTGAGACAAGACAGAGTTTACACTAATCTATGAGATGTGACTCCTGTATATTATTAATGTAATTGTCGGTAAACCATATCTTAACGAAGTTTATACATACTATACATTTCTACAACCCCTCCACTTGACTCCCACCTAAGCATCTGCTGTTCGAGCACTGGCAGTTCGAGCCAGAAAATAATACTACTGTCGAACTGTGTTATACTTTAATCTTAGATTTTGTGTATATCCAAAAAAATATATTGTGAAGAATTATATTGTCACATTATAAGTTTAACAATGTTAACTCATACGATTACAATTATCTATATAAAAAAAATTATAATCGACACTGAATATTATATAATGAAATAAATTAATTTTTCTTTCAAAAACTGTAAACAAAATACTTACATTAATATATTCATCTGGTCTGGGATCAGATTGAAAAACTTCCGGATGATGGTGGGTGGAGGTGCTGCTGGCAAGTGGAGAAGGCAATGCAAGTATTCAATTCGACACACTGTCTATTTTCGTCTTTCCTTTATTAAATAGAATATATAATAATAGTCAATGATTATTGGAGTGTATGAATGGAGAGTATGAGAGACTTCTGTATGAAGTTTCTTCAATTATTTTACGTTCTGATGAAAGTATGTGTACTCTCAGTAGTGTGAATCGTGATTCCTTCTTTCCGTGAGAAGTATCGCTGTTGTAGCCAATGCTTGCTAAAGGAAAGCATGATTCGCTGCTGCTTTAGCCGTTGGTGTGCGTGAGAGCCGCTGCTGTTGTAGCCTATGCTTACTAATAAAAAGCTTGAGTCGCTGCTGCTTTAGCCGTAGGTGTGATCCGTTGATGTATGTGTAGTTATAGTTTCATTAATTTCACTGTTAGCTTATGTTTGTACTAGCGCTTCTTGGATATAAGTTCAAGTTTTAGTTTAACGGATTCTGATAGTGTGGCGTCACTATTGGTTTGTTAGATCGCTTATTAATTGACAATTACGTACTTGTATAGCTAGAGTAAGTGATGACTGTAATATGAATGCTTGAAGATTGAATAGTGAGCCCGTCATGGTGACTGCGTAATTATTACTAGCACAGTGGAGCTGCGCGTCAAACGCTGCTCTTAAATATTCTCGTAAGAGCTTGCGACGCCTGTAGCATACCGGTGTCTGTTACTATGCCGATCTTTGTCGTGACCTCAGTAGAATATAACCTTGGAAGGTTCATCGGCATTGCTATTCGGAATTGTAATCGTATATTCGAGTTCTCAGCGTACGAAATTTCCCAAATTCGCTAAATTGTATTTATAAACGTAAATGTCCGGGAGCTTATACCTCTCCCACTTTTGTATTCCGCTTTTAACTGCGTCAATCCCGAACACATCTTTCTAATTAACAATCGATTAAATATGTGATCAAAACTTATAGAAACAACAACATCCGTGCAAATCCTTACAACGTTAGCACAGACCATAAATAATTCTGTACTCCCTTTATGAGTATGTTCGGCTATTCTTGCTAACCTTTACAACGTTCCCCTTCAAGGTACATATAAAATTCATTGCTGATCCCCATAACATTTCGAACAAATTTATTTTCATTCATTTTGTTGATTGGTCGTAACAAATAAATTACATATAACAAAAGTTATGTTAAATAACAGATTTTGTTACTTGTGAGAATATACTTATAAACCACTGCGTCATCAAATAAAAGATTGACATCTAGAAATCAAAATGATCAAATGTCATTGTAAAGCATTAATTCGATTAGAAAAAAAACATAAAGAAATGATAAATACATATTTTTTAATTAAAGAACCAATAAATACAGAAATATAGAATTATCGTCTATTCTTGTAAAAATTTTAATATAATTCTTTTTAACAAAATTATGTTAATAAATTAGTGCAGTCAAAAATAAAAAAATTAATGAGATGTGTGAGGTCGTAAATCTCTGAACATTTCTTTGTGTAGTGTCACGTGGTAGTCACCTAATTGCTGTTCTCCTACGTGAGAGAGTGTGTGATAGCACTGATTTACTTAAGTGTAAATGGCACTTACGGATACGCGGCTATGGCACCTTGATCTGCTGTGCAATGGCAAAGAATAACTTGTGATAGCTCTACCGAGAGAGGTTCCTTCTTCCTTGGTGTGCCCACTGTTAGAGCGTCCGTGTCTTGTATGGCATCCCCTCTAAGAGCGCGCCTCAGTCTTCTCCAGCGTCTTACTAAGACAGATCTTCTTCCTTCCATGGCGTCCCCCCAAAGGGAGCGCCTATGTTTCTGAATGACTAGCTCATAGCTGAATAGCGTGTAGCTGACTAACTCTGATTACCGTCTGTCTTAACGGGTGCTTGCTTTAAAAATCCATGTAACTGGACAGTTAGAACTGACAA